ATACCATTTAGCATGTTTAAGTTTATGTAAATATCGTTCACAACTTTCTGAGTTACCATGCAAGATTGCTAAAGTAGTAAGGATGAAACTTTCTTCTGAGTCGCCGAGGCACCAAGTATCTGCTAAATTCAGTTTTTTATATAGAAAGTCGTAGTTTAGTAAAGGAAAGGTTTAATAATGAATCTAGAGCGCTTACTGCTTTACCGCTAAATGTGTCTGTTCTGGAGAAAAATCGGTAAGAAAAACCTTTTCATTAACTAAATTCGTATTCTGTTCTTCGGTACTCTTGAATTCTTTCGATTTATTATTAAACACCTTTTTTACAGTGTGACAGATCTATATGTCATTCGAAAGCAATGTAGAGACTATCCAAATGATTTGTTATTTAGTTCTGGAAATCCGCAACAAATGCGATACAAGATAGACTAATTGATTCATTAAACAGAATTGGACATAAAGTAGTGAACATGCGACATTCAGTGATGGTAAGTTTTTTCTGAAAGATTGTTTCAGTTACCGTTTCTTTTGGTGTCTTAGATATTAGAAATTCTATGGACTATGGCACATGACGAAAGTTTACCGTATTCTATGTTTGATCGCCTATTATCCTGCCACCGTGAAATTTCCAGTAGTAGACATTATTTAAATCGTGAATTAATATGTGGCTATTGTTTAAAATGTATGGACCATATTAAAAACTATAATTTACAATGGATCGTTCCATCTTACCGTTATATAATGGAATTAGTCAAATTTGATACAGAATTTAAACGCTTTTTAATAGATGGAAATAATTTGATTTTATATTTAATACAAACTATAGGTCGGTGTCAACATGATATATGGATACAGACTGACGGAAACGTAAGCTCAGATACACTTATCGATAAACGCTATACGTACAAAGAATTGTTAAAAATCCAGCTGGATTTACTGGCATATATGTTGAGAAATGGACGTATGTATGCAGCATTACGTCATGTGGAAGAATTATGGTTAACATTAATTACGAATTATGAAGCATCTTTAATCGATAATGAATTAGGTTTTAGTTGGTTTATTACATCTTTCAATGAAATGAATGGTCAATCACGAATAGAGTTGTACGAAAAACACATATCAAAATTGAATTCATCAAAATTAACAGAAATAGGTATATTTTGTGTGATAACTCACTGATCAGTTTTACTCTTCATGTTTGATTCATAATGCATCCGTAAAACATCAAAAAGTGCTATATACATATTTTTCAAAGTTAGTTACTTACTAGTAAGTTCATAGTAACTAAAATTAGTTACTATACAACCACTGACAAGGGAAGTGCCTCAACTGATAAATCACTTTTTGAACGAAACCCAGTGGACTGCAGGTAGTCGACAAAACTGATTCCGAATATCACCATGACTGCTGCTGCTAGTAGGCCTTCAAAGACGGGTTTCCGGGAAAACCAGTTTTCAAGAAACTCGGAAGAACAACCAAAAGCTTTCTTAATTAAGCGTAATTGTAGTCCATAAATTTCCGAACGAGGCATCTTCCAGTTCTACACGACGTTTCTTTGCAAAGTTATAGAATTCACAAGAAAAGCCCAAAATTCCTTTTTCCTTTTTTTTCTGTAACTCTGAGGTGACAATGAACATTTAGGGCTTTTCTTGTAAACTCTATAACTTTGCAAAGAAAGGTCGTGTAGAGCTG